CATTAATGAAAGAACCTTCAAAGGAAAAATAAATAGAAATGATTGAAGAAGTATTTTTCTCTCTCGAGTGTTGACTTACCTGCCTCAGCAAGAATAGGCGGCCTTGAGAGATATTTAAAGACCACCAAACAACTTTGCCTTGCTTCTTGTAGCAGTTAGCGAGGCAGAAAAGGCTGGGACGTGTGCACGTTGCTGCAAGTAATCTGTTGTAAAAAAAAAAATAACACGCTTGTAATACCTTAAAGCATAGGTCAGGAGTTGTTGTGCACGAGATAAACAAGGCAGTGTGGGAGCGACAGGCTAAATGATGGAGCGAATGTCCTTTTGTCCCTACATGAGCCTCTTGTTTCGGGAGGATAAAGTGAGATGATAATAGAGTGAGAAGGAGAGAAGAGGAGTGAGTCACTACAAAGTATTGTATTTTTTTTTTTTTTTGCATTTACATAAAAATATGCAGAAAGGAAATGGGCTTTGTTTAAAAATGAGATCCTGACTTAGAAATAAGCTTAGAGATTGAATTGAAAGATGAATTAAAAGCTGATACAGATGTAACATTTTCAGGATTTTCTTCCATGCTAGGTGGTTTTCATGAAAATCAGTATTCAAGGCGAGGGCCCCTTAAACTCCTTAAGAATAGAGTGGCCGGTGGGGCAGTTTGATTGACTGGAATGGCTGAATCTTAGCACCAGTAATAACAAACTGGGCTGACTGTTGAAAGGAAGGAAGACGAAAAGATCGGAAGATGCTGGGAGAGAGAAAGGGAGAAGGATGGCCTGACAGCCCCAGACTTGGACTGAACATAACGTCCCCTCTGGGAGCAACAACCACGGCCATGCTCATCTTTCTTCCCCCACCCTCCTCCTTCCTTAACCCCACCCCCCCATCTCACTTGTATAGCTTTTACTTGCCTGTCAGTCTGTCTTACTCTCCGTCTGAACATTTGTGTCTGTTGGCGTCTCTTGTGGTTTGTCCTTTTCCTGTTCCCTCCTTGCTTTTTGTCACTAGCATATCACTGTCTTGATGTGTCCCTTATCTGCAGTCCTCGTCCTTGCTGTGTCCTCTTTGTCCTCGTCTCTCCCTTTGTCCCATTCCACCTCATCCTGAAACCTTTCCTTTCTGCTGTCAACCCTCCCTTCTTATACTTTTATCCCTCCAAAAAATGCTTTTTATGCTTTGCTGCAGACAAATGAGATTTATTTGTATTTATTCTAGCATACAAATGTTGATGTTGAAAATCACGCAAACATTAGATACCATCTACACACAAATGCAGCATCTTCACTCTTACAGTCACTAGACTGACTACTGTGTAGGTTTAATTGTTGATTAATTGAATGTGCCAGAATACTGTTCCTGATAGTCCCTGCCCACTTTAACCCACGGCCCTATGAAACCTACATTGATGCTTTATCTCAGTGATAGCTAAAGCTTGACTCCGTGATCATAACATGCACAAACATAAACTTCGTTCCTTCAAGAGACAGATAGTCCAGCTGTATGAGGAAAGAGGCCAGATGGTCTGTGTGTATCCATCTGTCTTTACACATCCCCAGCAATACACAATTCCTCTTTATCATCCTCCTGTCGCCTTCACCTCTGCAGTACCTTTATTCATCTGGCCACCATACATCTCTCTTTATTTCCCCATCTAGCACTTCTCTTTCAGTCTCGTCTGACTGCCTACAAATTTTAAATCATGCATACTGAGAAAGCACTTAAGAGCAAATGAGCATGTTGCAGTTATCTGCCCTTCATCCATTCTGATACCAAGTAGTTAGCAAAGGAATGTTTGTTTTAAGTTATTAATATTAATTCTGGGACAGAGAGCAGGCTTGTGCAGGTTTGTGGAGTTCTGTGCAGTGGCTGGGCACTGCTCTTGGAGAACTGGGGCATGTGGTTCAGCTCAGCAGAGGTTAATGGCGAGGGGAAACTCCTTGTCATGGTTCTATTGTCTGAGGCGGCTGGGACCCGCTTACCTGTGGGCACCTCCTGAAAATTGCTTTCTGATAAAAATAGTGCTCAGCCGTGGACCTGGCCCACTTTATTAGTCGTATGCTCTGGAAAAGCCTCCGGGGTAGAGAGATGGCAGCGGAGAGGGATGGAGGAGTGATGTGTGAAAGGGGTGCGGGTGGTGTTTTGAGATGCAGTCACACAAAAGCAACAAAATGAACCTGTACACCACACACCCACACTCCCTTGTGCAATTTAGCCACCCTCCACATCCCACAAACACACATGTGCAACCAGGTATAAACAATCTGACAGAGGCAGGCAGACATAATTGGGCCGAACGCCGATACCCGGGACCGGCTCTGGCCAAGCTTTCCGCAGTTAACAGGGGAAGTTGGACAAAGTAAACTTTGCTCGAATGACATTGCGATATACACCCTGAGGATAAACGAGCAGAGCCCCACTTCTGTCTTCTTTCACATGCGAAACATATTGTACTATCTGAATAAGCTGTTATTGCAGGATCACGATTACACATAAGGAAGTTAAAGACATTTCCAACACAGAGGTTTTGAATTTCACATTTCACAGCTTAAATTTAAGCTTTAAATACTGTAGAAGAACTATATAAAAAACACTTGTAGTTATGGTTTGGGCTAATATGACCTTCTAAAGTAAAAGACTATATTGAGAACCTCTGCTAGCATAGTCTAGTTGATAAAGGATAATGGATGGAAGCAGCTGCATAGACGATAAAACAGTAGGTGTTTAGCTAAGCTGTGGATCCACACTGACCTTCTTCTTGCTCAGACCTTGTAAAAGCAACATCTCGGGATTCCTTCTTTCCTCCTGCTAATTGTTACAAATGCTAAGGACTTAATCACATGGTATTAGTCTGAGGTTATTCTTGGTACCCTTAAAATAATACAATACAGAAAACAAGAATGCAGCATACAAACTGTTTGTATGTTGTAAATTGTGTTTGTATGTAAAAGTTTGTGGATTGCTGGGAGAAAGGAGTCATAGCAGTGAAATGTTTGTCCTCTTGCAGTCAAGCTAAGCTAAGCTAAGCTAACTGCCCAACATGCTGAAGATTTGCATTAGTTAGACTAGTTTACCAGCTAGCCTGCTAACTAGCCACTTCTACATATGTTTTTTACACTATGAGTTGACTGTCCCTAGCTTTTTAGTTGGCTGCACTGTTATTATCACCAATTATTTTTGAGAGTAGTTACAGAAATGCAGTTTATTTCTCTCATGTTCTTGTTCCTTTGTTCCTTCGTTCGTGTTCTCTGCACTGTTTGTGACCTCCTCTAAGCTCTCCACTGGGAACTTCTTTTGAAATGCATTGAGGTACAGGTCACTAAATTGCCTTTGGTCACAAGACCAACCCGGAGAGGAGGTAACGAGACGTGAATTAGAAAAAGGAGAGAGGGGTGGTGACGAATGCCTGCAGGTAGGCATGTGGAAGAAATGAGAAAGGGATGGCACAGGAAAACAGTAAAGGAAGATTTCATATCCGCTTTATAATGCTGCAGCTACAGCCAGAGCAGGCACAATGGCCTTGCTATGATTTGACAAGAGTTACGGCCGTCCCAGTGAGCTGAGAGGGTAAATCCAAGTTCTGCATTCTGATCAGTACCAGCAACTAGTAAACACGCGCACACACAAAGGGGGTAACATGCACACAAGCAGACAGCTATATTTGTAGACACATTTTATACAGTAATTTATAGGATACAAAACATAATTTAGAAAAGGTTCAAGTAGCAAAGCCTTTTACTGTAAATTAATTCCTGTAAGAGGCTTTCCTTTATAAATCTCATGCTGTGGCATTTTGCTGTCATGTCTCACAAAACCAGTTAATTGGGATGGATGGTCTTTGGTGATATAGAAAGTTACCACATCCATCATTGCTTGTGTTCTATAAGAGCAAGCAGCTCCTTTCTCTGTAGAGACTGGCTACGAGGCAGCATGTGTGTGTGGTGTGTGGTGTGTGTGTGTGTGTGTGTGTTGTGTGTGTGTGTGTGTGTGTGTGTGTGTGTGTGTGTGTGTGTGTGTGTGTGTGTGTGTTTTTCCCCCCAAGATATTTAGTTCACTTTGTTTTCCTGCAGAGATGTTGTGAAGACTTCTGTGCGGGGATAACAACACCAATAACTTCTATGTAGCTCATGAATGAAAGATTATGTTAATTCATATTATCATTTAGCAGTGTGACAAAGTGGGTGAGAAGACCATTTGTCTACATTCTTAGTTAACATTCTTGTTTTGATTTAACCATATTTCACATGTAATCTGCAATAGGCGAACATCTACTATCCGGGTTTGTTTATGTTCTGCACTTTTACAGATTATATAATATAACATCTTGGTTTAAATCAATTCATGCAAGTTTGTTAAGTTAACATGTTATTTATTTCAACTGTTAATTTGTATTGTTTGAACTTACCTTTACCTACCTGTCTTCCAGAAGCAAAAGGAGGAAATGTAGTTCTACTTCCTGCTTTATACCTTCTGGGTTCATCTGAGGTCACAGGAAGAGACCAAGGGCAGGAGGGGAAGAATTCTTATAATTTAATAAAGTTGATTTTAAAGGGTTTATAAAGAAATAGATTTAATGTTGTGATATGTATTGATTACACCAGAGTTTGTTGCCAGTCAAGAGGAGTAGTAGAGGATGAATGTGGTCATGTTCATCTCGCCTACCTGCTGAATGGAGTAGTCCAGAGGAGAAAGTGTTTGATTGAGGGGACTATTTGAGCAGACGAACTCGGGTGTTTCGGAAGAAGGGTTCAGGTCAGTGTAGCTGTGTGCAGTTTGACCTTAATTTCCGTTGATTTAAGTTCAGTTATGTTTATTTGAATTGAGTTTATTATAGAGTTTTTCTTATTTGTTTCTTTGTAAATATTCTTGGGCCACAGAATGGTGAATAAATCACTTGCTACACTGGACAGCATCAGTCTCCTGCACTTCTTGACCGCTTAAGTCGAGTCCTACCACATTTGGTGGCAGCAGCAGTGGGATTCCAGGCCAATTAAGGAGTGGAGAAGATGTCTACCCGAGCAAAGAGAGGGCATGTTCCAGAATGTGAAGCAGATGATTTACAAGATGGCAGCGACCAACAAGGGGCAATAAGTGGCCATATTTCTGGACAAGAGAATGTGGCTGAATTGTCCAAACTTTTGCAAACTCTGATGCAACAGCAGGCTGAACGCGATGCTAAACTGGAGCAAGAGCACAAGCGCCAGGATGATAGATGGAGGCAAATCCGGCATCAGTTTGCCCAGCTTCAACAGCAGATGCAGCATGGCAATCTAGAGCATGAGTTACTTGAAGTACAAGCATCTACATCGGCTTCTTCGAGAGCACCTACTCCAGAACCATCTGCCAGCACACAAGAATCAAATAGGCTTGACTTGGAGCCGGCACATCAACGCAGTGAGGCACAGCTTTCAACACTGGTGAGACATTCAGGCTGGAAGGGGCCAAAAATGCAACCTTACAATGAAGGTGAGGACATTGAACATTATTTAATCACCTTTGAAAGAATTGCTCATGCTTGCCAGTGGCCGCGAGATGAGTGGGCTCTTCACCTAGCACCACTGCTAGCTGGTAAAGCACGTTCCGCTTATGTAGCCATGGATATTGATGACACTATGGACTATGCAAAAGTAAAGTGTGCTGTCTTGCAGAAATATGAAATAAGTGTTGACACCTATCGAATGAGGTTTCGTTCTAGTACCTTTGGAGCAGAGGAAACACCAAGGGAGCTGCAGGTCCGCCTAAAGGAGTTGTACATCAAGTGGATGAATCCTGAAACAAAGACAAAGGATCAAATCGGAGACGCCATCATCATGGAACAGTTTCTCAAGGTTTTGAATCCTGATCTTCGGACGTGGGTTAAGGAACGTAACCCAAAGACTTCCAAGGAAGCAGCAGAACTGGCTGAAGCTTTCTTAGCAGCTCGTCGACCATCAAAAGACTTCACACCAGTTAAGTCAAATTCCAACGTGCCATTCAACAAGTTAGGTGGTGGCCCTGACTTGAAAGTTAAGCACACAAGACAGAACTGGTATAACTCAGATCCTGCAGATCTGAGACAAAAAATAAAACCAATAAAGCATGTCATTTGTGTGGTCAGATAGGTCATCTTAAAGCTCAGTGTACAAAGATGTCTGTTAGTAAAATTACATGTGTTCTGCTAGACAAACTGAAGTCAGTGAGAATCACAAAAATGAAATTGAATGTCAGCAACGTGAGCCATCAATTGGGGTATTTGTTGAAGACAAACCCTGTGTAGCTCTGTTAGATTCAGGAAGTAATCGCTCTCTGGTTAGACAAGACAGTCTTCCCAGGGATGTGATCTTTTCAGGAGCAACAGTGGATGTGTGCTGTATTCATGGTGATAAGGTATCATACCCAGTTGCTGAAGTTGCAATTGAAGTAGAAGGCCAGTGTTACACTCTTTCAGTGGGAGTGCTGCAAACGCTGCCTTATCAAGTGGTGTTGGGCTGTGATCTCCCAATACTCACAGAGCTAATAGCCAAGCATCCCTGTCAGACTGAAACCGTTGAAAGTTTGTTAGCGGTCACAAGGTCAAAAGCTAAGGAGCTACAGGTTAATGCTTTGGGTTGGGATGAATTACCTTTTGCAACTGAGGATGCCCCATTGGACGAGTCTAGCACTCGTTCTAAACCAAAAAAGAGCAAGAGACAGAGAAGACATGAAAAGGTGAAGGGAACAAGAGTAGCTGAACACATTTTAGATCCTTTAAAGACTGAGTCTCTCCCCAGTGCTAGTCAGGTTGCTAGGCTTCAGAAAGAGGATCTAACACTTAAACCATTGTTCTCTAAATGTGTCCAGAGTCAACTACAGTTGAGGGAAGGCAGGAAGTGTTTGTGGTTAAGGGAGATTTGTTGCATCGCCGTAGCAAGATTGGTGACCAGTTGGTGATCCCCCAGAGTTTGAGATCTACCATTTTGAAAATGAGTCATTCCATTCCCTGGGCAGGACATTTGGGACAATCTAAAACATTTTCTAGAATGATTCCCAGATTTTACTGGCCCCAACAGTTCAGTGATACGGTACAATACTGTAAAGCTTGCCCACAGTGCCAGTTAACAGCTCCAGGCAGGAAAGCAGATAGAGCTCCGCTTATCAGTATGCCCATCATTGATACACCCTTTTCACGCATTGCCATGGACATTGTTGGCCCACTAGAACAGAGTAAAGCAGGTCATAAGTACATACTTGTAGTTTGTGACTATGCCACAAAATATCCTGAAGCCTTCCCCCTGAAGAAAATAAAGGCTCGTCAGATTGTTAACTGCCTGATTCAGTTGTTTTCCAGAGTAGGTATCCCAAAAGAAATCATCACAGATCAGGGGACCAATTTCACTTCTAAGATGCTTAAAGAAGTATATAGTTTGTTAGGGATCCAGGGTGTCAAGACCAGTCCTTATCACCCACAGACTGATGGCCTTGTGGAGCGATTTAACAAGACCTTAAAATCAATGCTCAGGCAATTTGTGAATGAAACGGGGTCAGATTGGGACCAATGGCTCCCATTTTTGTTATTTGCCTACCGAGAGGTTTCACAAAGTTCTACTGGGTTTTCACCATTCCAGCTACTTTATGGGCATCCTGTCAGAGGTCCAATGGATGTTCTGAAAGAAGCTTGGGAGGGTTCGATGTCAGAGCGGAGGTTTAGTGAACTCTCACATGTCCTCAAAATGAGAGACAAGCTAGAACATTTCCAAGAACTTGCTAATAACAATCTGGCCCATGCGCAACAGCGGCAAAAACAAAGATATGATAAAGTGTCAAGAAGAAGAGTCTTCCGTGAGGGACAGAAAGTTCTTCTACTTTTGCCAACTTCTGAGAGCAGTCTTCTTGCAAAGTGGCAGGGGCCATATGAAATCACAAAGAAGACAGGCCCAGTCACATATGAGCTTCATTTACCAAACCGTCGAAAGAATCATCAAGTGTTCCACGTCAATCTTTTGAAAGAGTGGACTGACCAGCCACAGGACTCAACATCCATGTGGGCATGTATAGTTGTGGATGAGGAAGAGCCTCAGGAGCAGTACTTCCCTTCTTCAGCTGTCAAAACTGTGTTTCCAGATTTAAACCATTTGCCTTTGGAAAGACGTCAGGAGGTGCAATCACTTATGACCAAAGAACTCTTCAGTCTAAAGCCAGGTCGTACACACCTCATTGAACACAAAAATCACTTTGCATTCTCCAGACCAACGGCCAATTAGAGATACCACTTGCCGTATCCCAGCTAAGCTATTGCCTGAGTTGAAAAGTGAGCTGGAGGAGATGCTGGCTGCAGGAATCATTGGGCCATCGCACAGTGAGTGGTGTAGCCCTGTTGTGCTTGTACCAAAGAAAGATGATCCTAAGCTTAGATTTTGTGTAAACTTTTCCAAGTTAAATTCTGTGTCTGATTTTGATCCTTATCCAATGCCGAGGGTTGATGAACTAATTGATCGTTTGGGAAATGCTAAATTTCTGACTACCCTTGACCTCTGTAAAGGTTATTGGCAGGTTCCCTTGACAGACTCATCTAAGGACTTAACAACATTCAGAGTGCCGAGTGGACTGTTTAGATTCACAGTGATGCCCTTTGGTTTGCATGGAGCACCGGCTACATTCCAAAGGTTGGTGGATCGAGTGTTGAAGGGTGCAGAACAATATGCAGCTGCCTACATTGATGACATTGTTGTTTATAGTGGTACATGGGAAGATCATCTGAAACATCTTGCTGATGTGTTTCGACGTATCGCAAATGCTGGACTTGTCATAAATGCCAAGAAATGTCACATCGCCAAGCCCGAGGTGCAGTACCTGGGTTATGTAATAGGGGGTGGAGGCATTCGCCCTCAGGTTGGAAAAGTGGATGCAGTTGCTGCAGCACTCTTGCCAAACACAAAGAAAAGGTTGAGATCATTTTTGGGATTAGTAGGTTGGTATCGTCGACTAATTCCAAATTTTTCCTCAAGAGCAGCTTTATTGACTGACATGACAAGAAAATCTAGTCCTACAAGGATCAGGTGGACGAAAGATGCTGAGGATGCATTTAATGATTTGAAAGACTGTTTGTGTCAGAAACCTGTTTTGCAGTGTCCAGATTTTAACCTTCCATTCACAGTACAAACAGATGCCTCTGAGGTGGGTCTGGGAGCTGTTTTACTGCAAGGAGAGGAAGGGCAGCAGTTGCCTGTCCAGTACATCAGTCGAAAACTTTTTCCAAGGGAAATGAGGTATTCGACCATTGAAAAGGAGGCATTGGCGATTAAATGGGCTCTAGACACCTTGCGATATTATCTTGTTGGGAAAGAGTTTGTTCTTGAGACTGATCATCGTGCTTTGCAATGGATTCATAATATGAAAGACACTAATGCCAGGATAACAAGATGGTATTTATCTCTCCAGCCTTTTCGTTTCCAGGTCCAGTATAGACCTGGACATAAGAATGTCATTGCTGATTTCCTGTCCCGTGACTCAGAGGAGTAACGGTCTTAAGGGGGGGGAGTGTGACAAAGTGGGTGAGAAGACCATTTGTCTACATTCTTAGTTAACATTCTTGTTTTGATTTAACCATATTTCACATGTAATCTGCAATAGGCAAACATCTACTATCCCGGGTTTGTTTATGTTCTGCACTTTTACAGATTATATAATATAACATCTTGGTTTAAATCAATTCATGCAAGTTTGTTAAGTTAACATGTTATTTATTTCAACTGTTAATTTGTATTGTTTGAACTTACCTTTACCTACCTGTCTTCCAGAAGCAAAAGGAGGAAATGTAGTTCTACTTCCTGCTTTATACCTACTGGGTTCATCTGAGGTCACAGGAAGAGACCAAGGGCAGGAGGGGAAGAATTCTTATAATTTAATAAAGTTGATTTTAAAGGGTTTATAAAGAAATAGATTTAATGTTGTGATATGTATTGATTACACCAGAGTTTATGTTGCCAGTCAAGAGGAGTAGTAGAGGATGAATGTGGTCATGTTCATCTCGCCTACCTGCTGAATGGAGTAGTCCAGAGGAGAAAGTGTTTGATTGAGGGGACTATTTGAGCAGACGAACTCGGGTGTTTCGGAAGAAGGGTTCAGGTCAGTGTAGCTGTGTGCAGTTTGACCTTAATTTCCGTTGATTTAAGTTCAGTTATGTTTATTTGAATTGAGTTTATTATAGAGTTGAGTTTCTTATTTGTTTCTTTGTAAATATTCTTGAGCCACAGAATGGTGAATAAATTACTTGCTACACTGGACAGAATCAGTCTCCTGCACTTCTTTGACCGCTTAAGTCAAGTCCTACCACAATGGCCTCAAGGGAAGCACTGTCCCTGGTGTAATGTGAATAGCCTTAGCCAACACCACTGGCCCTGGTGAATTGTGCATGATATTGGTCAGCACCACAGGCCCAGGTGTTATGTGGATGGCATCAGCAAGTAGCACAGGCCCTGGTGTGGTGATGATGGCGTCACAGGAAGAACTGTCCCTGGTGTAATGTGGATGTCCTCATCCAACAGTACAGGCCCTGGTGTGGTGAAGATGGCCTCACAGGAAGCACTGTCCCTGGTATAAAGTGTATGGCCTCAGCCAACAACAGTGGCCCTGGTGAAATGTGGATGGTATTGGTCAGCACCACAGGCCCTGGTGTAATGTGGATGGAGATAGGTTTGTAGCTTGAACCCATCCGCTGGAACGTTGAAGACAATATAATTACACTGCAAAGCAAGACACAAGTAGGCAAGGTTCTTCATGTTTACTCATGCATGAGGGAGATCTGGCTGGAGCCAAGCGTCGTCCCACCACGTGACCTCCATCAGACTCTCAGCCAGGTCCCCCATAACACTCCTTTTATTGTGGTTACATGAATATGCATAGGGTCATTAACATATGACATCTTACATAGGTATACATGTGAACAAAGAATACTGTGTGTGTGTGTATGTGTGAGGTCAAGATGTGACCCTGTGAAGACTCCCCAAAGACTCACCCAAAGCTGGTGCCAGGAGTCTAGGGCTCCATCTGAACAAAAGGCTCTTATACTTA